ATTAATTTTTTTATATAAATTAATTATAAAAAATATATAATTAATACTTTATTAACTTATATCTTAATAGAAAAATTAGACAAACTTTTTTTTCAAAAGGAGGCAGAGATAAAAACTTTATACGTTTAGAGGGTTGCTTCTTCCGAGTTGGTTCTCTACATCCAATAAGTTCAGTTTGCTTATTTTCACTTAAAAACTATAGCATTTTGCCGCAGCAATCCTGTGCTTTAAGCCGGATGAAAGGTTTTTCTCTCTCTGTTTTTCTTTTTTTTAAAGAAAAGTTTTAATTAAAAAGTTTTTTATTTAAATTTAAAAATTGTAATTTTAAAAATAATACTAATGTGATTTTGAAAGAAATTTTTATACATTAGAAAAAAACGTATTCTGTTTAGTATTTTATTTAAATGATAAATATATAAAAATATTAATTTATAAAAAATAATATTAAAATTGTGATATTAAAATAAAGATTTTCATCGTACTTCATTATATATGCTATTAGTTTGGGGGTTTATGAAATGCAATTATGAAGTATGTAGGACCACATAATTAAATACTAAATGGTATTATATTTTTATAAATAATTAATTATGGTATTTAAAACATTAATCTATAATTAATTGGATGGAGGTATGACGTCAATACATTTTTTAATAGTAGAAAGAGGACATGTGTAGTCAATTCAAAGGAGAAGGAGAACATGAGGCGATTTGAAAGTAGAAAGTTTAAATTGAATTATTTTTGATAGTAGAGGGACGAATAGTTGGCATTAACCCTTTAGGAGGCGTCCGAGTCTTTTCCTTTTTGACTTTTACAACTTTCGGCCAGTTTTGGGTCGTCTGCACTGTTCTCACTGCTCCGACCTCCGAGCATAAATAATTAAATATAACTCCCACTCGTCTCTCAAGCAAACATCAAATCCTTCTATTCGACCCCTTGCTCTTGCTTCTCTATTGATTACTGAATCTTCCTCTCTTTTTCTCTCAAAATCAAAAGTATGGGTGGTGATCATCGGCATGCTTCTTCAAGTTCAAACAGCCCTGAAACCGTTCTGCCGCTTGCTGTGGTGCCGGGTTATTTTGAAGAGGCAGATGTGGCACCCATTATTTCATCCTACAATGATCATATACGCCCTTTGCTGGACGCTATTGACAGGCTCAGGCTTCTCCAGGTCATGAAAGAAGGCATCCAGCTGCCCACCATTGTTGTCGTTGGTGACCAGTCCTCCGGAAAGTCCAGCGTTCTCGAATCACTCGCCGGCATCCACCTTCCTCGTGGCCAGGGAATCTGCACCAGAGTTCCCCTGATTATGCGGCTCCAGAATCAAGACACTACTGAACCAGAGCTTTTCTTGGAGTACAGTGGAAAAACGGTTCCCGTGGAAGAAGACCACATTGCTGACGCCATTAGTCTTGCCACCGACGAGATTGCCGGCAGCGGTAAGGGTATTTCCAACACTCCCCTGACTTTGGTGGTGAAGAAAAACGGTGTTCCGGATCTTACGATGGTGGATCT